CAATAGCCCTCCAGGCAAGGCAGACTGTGTGAGTTCAATAGGTGGAGATATACAATACGCACATCTGACATCTAGTGGTTAAGCAATGTAAATGTCCACACTCAGGATTGTTTAATTTATGTTAAATGTACACTGTACAGCCAGCTGGAATAGAGGACTAAATGTTTACGAATTAATCTCTTTTAAGAGGGTCATTTTACACAGTTATGGAAAAATATATTTTCTCATTTACCTCAGCTGCTTAATTTATTCAACTCATTTACAAATACCGTTGTGACTGACTTATTATTTTCATCATTATTCAAGCAAAAATGCCACACATTTCATGGCTACATGTGTTCCTATAATGTGAGACTTTGCTGCTTATTCAGACCGATTTATAATAAATAAAATAAGACATTTAAATATAACACCTTGCCCTTCTCAACTGTTTCCAGATGTTTTATGGGTCAAATTATTAACAGGCTTTTAGATTTTGGAGAGTATGAATGTATACATGGAAATAGTGCTATGTCAGACTCTTATGGCTCCAGATAGAGCTGATAACATGGTAACTTGAGTCAGCATCAGTGGAGGGCTGAAAAAAAACGACAAGTTTGAAAAGAAAAAAGTTCAAATTAAACAAAAGTGAGCAAGCCTGTTTATTCAATTTCCTCATCTCAGGCAAGCTGTTTGTGGTCGAGTTGCATTGTAGACAAAGTGGTGCTATGTTTTGACAAGGTAGAGAAATGTGTGAAACAAAATGTTATTTTTGTTGTGTGCTCTTTTAACTATGTAGGTTCAGAAGACACCAGAGGTAGGTGACTTTAATGAGCCTCAAGTAGGAACAATTATGCTATTTTCTGTTAAATGTGTGTCAGGCCACTGAGTTAGTATCAAATTGCTGAAAACAAAACAGACAGAAGTGATTGCATGTGCAGATCCTCAATGGAAATCTTCCATAGCTACAAAACACGGCCAAAGGTGAATGCTTGAGAAAAAGAGCTGCTGTTGTACAAGAACGATCTATAAGTGGAACAAGAAGAAAAGCTGTAATAAAAAAAACATTGAGTGTCATCACCTCTCTTCTAACGTCAATATGACTAACAAGATAGGCAACAGGATACCTCCTTTATGTCCCGAAACAAACCCTTCCTGTAACTGAGAAATCAATCTTGTTCACCTCAGAAGATAAATAATGTACATTAGGAAAATTATAATGCAATAATTTAAAAGTTGCTATCTACTATAATTACAAACCTGAAGCAGTGCAAACGAAAAGTGTGTGAAGATGAATGTGTATTGTTAAATTATCAGGGAGACACTGACATTCTGTTTACTAATATACCAACTATAATTACTAAAACTGTGTGTGTTGGAAGTGAAACTGTAAGGTGTGCATGGCAATTGCTTTGCAACGTGGCTTTCTCTGCCCGGTTTAGCAACTTATTCTAGACCTATTAATAAAAGGAGAATCCCTTGTTCAGTGATTCAGACTAATACTTTTGCCCATGTGAGGGAAATGAAAACCACTTCCTCCATTAACAGTTTGAGACTTTATATGAAAGTGAGAATGCAGAGATGAAAGGGAAATGCCAAAAATCTCCCCTGACATTACACTACATTGCATTTAGCGACTTACAGTAAGTACATTCGACCAGGACGATACAACCTTGAAGAAAACAGAATCATATAAGTACATCAGGATTCATAGAGCCAAACATTTCAAGTGCTACTCAACTGGCTTTAGATAAGCCAGTCCTTTATTAGTATATAAGTGCTCTGTTAGCAGTTCTTTGTTAGTAATTATATTGCTCGAAGTGGAGTCGAAAGAGATGAGTTTTCAGTCTGCGCCGGAAGATGTGCAAGCTATCTGCTGTCCTGATTTCAATGGGGAGCTCATTCCACCATTTTGGAGCCCACGTGTTTTTGCTGACAAAACCAATCTCTTCCTTGTAGGATATAACTATGAAGCAGTCTTTCTTTTGTTTGTTTCTATTTGCCTCATCTAGTTCCGTGTTGCAATAAGTTATGTAACATGTCTAGTTTATATCCTCAAGCCTGTGACACGTCATTACCCTCATTTTTCTTCCTTATTGAAGTCTAATTTAGTGATGTGACTATTACTATTACTGATTACTATTTCGCTAAACTGTTACTGGTACAGGATGTGTATTTTGTAAATTGGGTAATTTCTAGTTTTATCTTTCATATTTGTATGCATGCTTCTTGATTGATATTAAGATATCTTTGGCTCTTTACTTGCTGTAACAAATGTCGGTTCCCCTCTGTGGGACCAATAAAGGTATTCTGATTCTGATTTTGATAGCAGACAAGATAAGTTTCAGATGTAGCCTGTCATCGTGCAGATCTAAAACATTCTTAGAAGAGGACTTAATAATCTTATTTCATATTTGTCCTTATGATATATATTTGTTTAAATACACAACAACATTACATTACATTTAATTTAGCTGACGCTTTTATCCAAAGCGACTTACAATAAGTGCATTCCACCAAGAAGATACAAACTTGAAGAAAACAGAATCATATAACATCAACAACAATAACAGGAATCAACCAATTAATTTAGTGACAGACAGAGAAGTGTTAAGTTAATGTTGAATGTGGCGCAAATAAAGATGTAGCTTCTAATATAAAATAGCAATAAGGGCTTACAGTGCAAACATTTTAGATGTGTTGTGTACCCGCCCTATGGGCAAGACATGTTATAATTTAACATGTCACCTATTATGCAAAATCGCTCTCTTTCTGTCCTGATCCATTTGTATAAAAACCTGTCTGAAAATGATTTGGCCACTTTATGATGTCATAACGATTTTTTGGCTCGTGTAACCATTTGCCAAAAAACCAACCAAGGTAACTGCCGCCCACCTTATCACCTGAATCTCCTCCTAGAGCACCATTGTGTTCTTTTTAACCAAATATCTTGCAGAGGGGCGTGGGGAGTGGCTCCTTATTTTCATCTAAAGTAACAGACAGAGAATCAGCACTTTTGAAACAGGGCTGAAACAGAGGGGATTATGGGATGCTACAATGGGTGATCTGTTTGGCATTTGGAGTCAAACACTTCAGAGACATGTTTTGTATGTATCTGAGACCTATATTATAATGATGAAAAACTGTATAATAGGGGACCTGTAAATGACTAAAGCAGATACAAGCTGGGTGGGTTTTAATGATGATAGTTAAACTCGGTATTCATTCAGATACATTTTTTTAAACAATTTACACACTCATCTTTCCAGTTCCAATTAAATGTTCAGCACTGTTAAATACAAATAGTTGTTTAGCAGGATAATAAAGCATTTAAATAAAGTAGCTATGTGGTTTCAAAGCATCCTTGACATATAACAATAAGATAACAACGAAAGTTATAAAATAACATATTCTATGTAACATAATGAAACAATTTAAAAAGAGAATATCTTGTAGGTTTATTCAAATATCTTGGAAGGATGTATATCAATCTCCTTATTTGGATGACCAACTTCCAGTGTTGCATGCAAATGTATGCATGCAAAAGCAAAACTGAGGTGAATGCAAAACATGAAAACAACCAAACTAATTTTCAATTTGTGGTTGAAGGCCTTCTTCAACCAGTGAAGTGGCAGTTTAAGTCTATGCCTGCCTAGACTCAGATTATATATAGTAGAGATAATGAAGGAATTTGACAAAATGTATTATGCTGTTGAATTGAAATTAGAGTTATCCCTATTGACATGTTTGGCTCCTGTAAAAACAATTTCAGTCATGACTATGTTGACTTCACTTAGAGATTATTTTTACACAAGGGCTACAGAGGATTGATAGAGGGCTCTGTAAAAAGGTGCCACGATATTCACCTGCAGCTCAATATTAGCAAAACAAATGAGCTACCAGAGAAACAGGTAGTCCTAGTTTTGAACCGAGAGGAAGAGATAGGGTGGACTCATACAACCCATACAACTACCAAATCAATTCAAAAAAACAGACCTAAACTCACTGAATCTGGCCAAATGTAAGATATGGTGTCCATCTCTCCCTTCTTTTCCGTTGTTGTGGGCAATATTTTGTTCCAAAACCTTTTATTTCACATTGGATTTTTACCTTGGACTTGGATATAAACTATTATTACTTCATCATTTTATCCTTTAAGACATTTGTGTTCAATTGTGTAATAATGAGCCTATTAATTATTGAGGAATGGCCCAATGCGTGTTTTGTGAAGTCACAGTGACTTTGATCTTTGACCTCTGATGCCATCTGTTCACCGAGTACAACTGGACTTAAAGGAATTCCTGAGATATTTTCTTCAAGAGCAGAGAGGGCAACCCAAAAACATAAGCTCTCAAAACCATTAAAACAATAATAATGAAATACAATCAATCTTATATATAATTGTATATATTGCTATTGTATATCAAGTGTTCCCATCAAGCAGGTTGGTACTTATTAGTGGTTTTCATAACGGCACACTGACAGGTTGTCATCATGTTGTATACCTTTTCATTAATGACATTATAAGCCACCCACAACAAGTAACATTTGCAAAGTGATCCAATGTGAGGTGTGCTGTAATAACAACTCAGGATGCAAAAGGTGGTTGGTGTGCTCCCCTCCTACTAGATGAGCTAAACCAAAGAGAGTCAAATAGCAAACCACATACAAATATCAGTCAAATACCCCGGAAAGGTGAACACCTTGCATGACATGCAATAAGCATAAACACATGGGGCAAAGTGAGTTTTCACATGCCGTGCTTTACAAAAGAGACAACCAAAATGCAAAAGAAATTAATGACTGTGTGTTACATTTTTATTTTATGTCCACTTGTCCACTGATGGAAATAAAGGTCAATATTGTAAGGACCATTTAAAATAATTAGCAGTTACTTGGTATTACAAGTAACTGTTACTTGGTGGCCAAGGTGGGGCGGGGCCAATTGTACCTATTTTGCTTTGGGTGTTTCAGGTGAGTTTGCATACAACAACTGATGATCAGTCTCTTTTCAGGCTCTGGCTTAACTGCATCATGACAGCACATTGGACCTTTCTGGTTTTGTGCTGTGCGATCAGACTGAGCTACAGTGAGGATCCACCCGAATGGTTTCAGAACATTTCAACCAGTCTCTTCAACTTGCCAGGGGACATCATGCTCGGAGGGCTCTTTCAGATTAACCTGCTCTCAAGCGACGTCAGCCAGAGGACGGAGCCTGAGAATATCAGCTGTGAAAAGTAAGACAATTCAATTTTAGGAAATTAGTAAACCAGTTATTTGTGATATTGCACCAATATGTATCATTAACTTGAATAATAAAGCTTATTTTAGTTTTTTCTGCCTGTGGTCCCACAGTTTAAATGAGGCTGGCCTGGGACTTGCTCTAGTAATGAAATATGCAGTGGACGAAATCAACGCAAACCAAATTCTTCTCCCAGGAATGAAGTTGGGTTATGAAATCTATGATACGTGCAGGGAATCTGCCGTCATCGTGAAACCCACCGTCTCATTCCTCACTGCAAAATTCAACAAAGCACTATCTGTGGAGTGTAATTACACGGACTATGAGACCCGCATCTCAGCGGTGATTGGTCCTATAAGCTCGGAAATGGTGTCGGTCATAGGAAAGCTTCTGGGATTCTTTCTGATGCCACAGGTTTGGTTACAAATATGTCTTGTCATTTGTCCACAGACATCAACGCCACAGGCCATATTTGCTGTTCTTCAAACAAGCAGTGTCACAGAAAAAACGATTATTTGTTCATTGGCAAATATCAATTGTTTCTCCTTTTATTTTTTTTGGAAGTGTAGTTTCCATCACTGTCCAGTTGCAATGCAAATTCTCCTGCAACATCAGTACATTTGCATTAGGCCTTATGCATCAACATTGGAGCATTGCTGGGTAACTTCAGTGTGGTACAAATAAGTGGTATAATATGACTTTTCTCCCTCCAGGTTAGTTTTGGTGCCACCAGTGACAAATTCAGTGACAAACTTCTCTACCCGTCATTCTTCCGCACCGTGCCCAGTGACAAATGGCAAGTGAAGGTCATGGCGCTTCTGCTGAAAGCGTTTGGGTGGAACTGGGTGGCGGTGGTGGGCAGCGACGAGGAGTATGGACAGCGAGGTGTGCAAGAATTCTCCAAAATAACAGAGAATATGTCGGTCTGCGTGGCCTATCAGGGGCTGATTCCAGTGTACACTGACCCTGGACCAGCAATCACTACCATCATCGACAACATCAATGCAACTAAGGTCGGAGTGGTCGTGGTGTTTGCTCTCGCAGAGCCAGCTGCTATCTTTTTTAAAGAGGTTGGTGAATCACTTTTGAAAAGTATTGCATGTTAGTGGTTGATAGTTTATATGTATTTCAGTACAAATGATCCATTCCAATTTACCCCAGGTCATCAGGAGAAATGTACGGGCTGTATGGATTGCAAGCACAAGTTGGTCCATCAAAAATCAACTGACTTCCCTGCCCAATATCCAAAAAATTGGCACTATCGTTGGATTCATTGACCAGACACAGACTCTGGATGAGCTCACTGCCTACACACAGGTGCTCTTAACCAAACTGAGTGATGAGAGGGCAAATATGTCACCTCCAGCACCAAAGTCTAAAGTCAACTCTAAAAATCCCTGCCCACAATGTTGGAATTTGTCACCTGCTAACATTAGCTTGGTGACTGAACCTGTAGTGCAGCGCACAGCTTTCAGTGTGTATGCTGCCATCTACTTTGTGGCTGAAGCACTGCACAACCTGCTGGGATGCAATTCAACTGGCTGCTTGAAGGAAACCAAAGTCTATCCCTGGAAGGTGATTTATTTTGAGTGGTTTGTAAAATAGACACATTTTTAAGTTTAAAAAAAAGGTAAACATTAACATTAAAATTAATTGAGGAACAACATCTTTCTTTTGCAGCTGTTGGAGGTTTTAAGGAATACATCTATAGACATAAATGGCACACATTTACAGTTTGACATGAACGGCAACCCAAACCGAGGGTACGATATTATTGAGTGGGTTTGGAATGATTCGAATTTAGACTTGGTAGTTGTTGGAAGCTGGAAAGAAAAACTGTTCATCAACAAAACCCTCTTGAAATGGCACACTCCAAACTCTGAGGTAATACAACACATGTTTTAAATGTATGTACATTCGGGAATGTGCATACTTTTAATTTGTGGTTGAATCCAAGACGATAATAAACTGGTTCTGGTTTCTGTAACTATAATGCAACAACTTTTACAGGTTCCTCAATCCAAATGCTCAGCAGAATGTGGGCAAGGCCAGGTCCGCAGAGTCAAAGGCTTCCACTCCTGCTGTTTTGATTGTATTGACTGCTTGGCAGGCACTTACCAGGAAAATGAGGGTAATGTGTTACCTGTCAAATACCTGATCCTTGTATGAAGGAATAGGAAATAATTATTTGGATTAGCGTTATTGGCTTCGCTGAGAGCTAGAGCTTTTTATTTTAGCTCAGCATGACTGCAAACATGAAAAAAGAGATTGGCTTATGCGAACGTAAAAAAATGCCTAAGAAGCTAATTTACATTTTCACACATACAGATTTTATTACCTTGGTGTAGACCAGGTTAAAGGTTATCCCCTGTCTCCCCTGTTCACTGCTAAGCTTACCCAGTCAGCTGCTTAGTGTTATTTCTTTAATGATGACGAAATCAAAACACACATCAGAGACCATAAGGGTTTTATTTAATTTTTTGATGGAATTCTAATTAATCAAACCAATGTTCTTGTTGTGCTTTCTGACTTATAGAGGACACCCAGTGCGCTAAGTGCCCTGATCGTCAATGGTCTTTAAACAACAGCACTTCCTGCATTGATCCCAGTTTTGAATTTTTGTCCTGGAATACACCTGAGGCTCTGCAGTTGACGCTGGCTGGTGTGCTGCTCCTCATTTGTCAGGTGTCAGTTGGCGTGGTTTTCCTGAAACACCGGGGATCCTTTATAGTAGCTGCCTCAGGGGGAACCCTGAGTTTTGTAGCTCTGATAAGCCTGATGGGAGCTTGCCTCAGTCTGGTGCTCTTCCTGGGGCAGCCGGGGGACATGGTGTGTCGTCTTCAGCTGCCCCTCACCTCCATTTTCAAGACAGTGGCCATCTCCATTATCACTTTCATCTCATTACAGGTGGGTAATAACGTGTGACGTACTTTACTTTCCTGTAGAACAAATAAATAGCACACTTGTAATGATGCTGCAAACCCTTCTTTTTGAACAGATACTCTACGTGACAGAGTTCCCAAAGATGGCCGCCTCTCACCTGCATATACTAAGAGGCCCTGGAATCTGGCTGTTTGTGCTTGTCTGCTTTGCTGTGCAGGGGGCTCTCTGTGGCTATTTTTTGGTGGAAGGGAGCACACTGTCTGAATATGTGGCAAAGCAGAAAATAGACTTTGTGAGATCGTTTCTGACATGTCCAATGTCCCCCTTGATTGGATTTGCCCTAATACAGGGTTTCAACGGTGCAATGGCTCTTATATCATTCATGTCTACCTTCATGGCAGCAAAGCCTCTTCATCAGTACAACCTTGCCAGGGACATCACCTTTGCCTCCCTAATCTACTGTGTGATTTGGGTGACCTTTATTCCAATCTATATAGGGTTGAATCACAAGGACAGATCTATTGTCCATGTTTCTTTCAACCTGGCAAGCAACTTCGGGTTAGTGGCAGGTTACTACTTTCCAAAATGCTACTTGCTGTTAAGAAAACCTGAGCTCAATACAGCAGAGCACTTCTGTACCTTCCTTGAGGGCGTCCCGCTAACTCAAGCTCAGGAGGAACCACAGCAAGAGCCGGGAAATAAACTGAAGTTGTAATTACAAAATCTCAAAGACATGTAACACATATACTCAAATGTACACTTATTTGCTTTATATGTTAAAGAAGGAGTGAGTAACATATAATAGGGTGATTTGGGCTTAGATATAGGCTATGAAGCATGATGTACACTAGGCTATAATAATAACGTGATATGAATATTTACCCAAGAAACACATAACAAAGATATATTGTTCAAATATAAAGTTTAGAAATAGTAAATTTTTCAACTGAAGTGTGCATTTTGTATTCCTGCAATATACGATTTTAAATGTGTATGTACAAACCTTTAAGCAAAATACTGTATAATAACAAAGGTTGCAGTAGTTTTTATTGATAAGTCTAACAAAGTGTCAATTATAAAGATGTTTCCTACTTGTCCAGTGTAGTAGTACAATGCAACAGGAAACAATGGCACAATGTTGATATAAAATATAAGGGAAGCAATAAAAATGTGTTTAAAAAAAGGTGTGTCTTGTTTTTCCAAGATTTCCAAGAAAGAAATGCAGATTTTCCCATTAATATTCATAAAAATGGAAGGTGTATTGTTGTCCTACTGATTGACTGTATTTATAAACTACTACGTCGATTTGGTGTTACTGGGTCCCATGACAAGGAAGCTATTGAAAAAAAAAGCTAAAATCATTATTCATTCAAATATGTTTGATAAATCCACTCATGACACATTAGTCAGCCTCAGATTCATCATAATGTTATAGTAGTAGGCAGTGGCGGTTCTACGGGGTGGCAAGTGGTGGCAGCTGCCATCTCAGAAAAAGGCCTTGCCACCCCAGCTGCCACCCCATTTGGCAGCTTTGTTTTGAAAGGAAAGTTGTGGCTCATCGGACATTTATGAGAGAAAATCTCTAATGGCCGAGTGCAAGTGAATGCAGCACAAGACGTGAGCCTTGTAACCCCTCCCCCCCCCTGGCGCAAGCTTGGAAATATGATTGGCGGCGATTTCATTTGAACGGGGGACAGTTCAAAACAAGAAGCATTTCGGATCTAAGTAGACGGAAGGAATGAGACGACGCTGAAGTTGGCTTCCGATTCAGAGCATCCGATTCGGCAGTTAAGGGGAAAGTTAAGGGACATTTAATTTACAGCGCTGAGCGAACAATCCTCTGTGTTTGAACCTCTTAAATCGCTGCATAGCCGATTATTTGGACTGGATTATCCCAGAGAGTCTAAAGATTCTTTATAACCCAGTTTGAGATTTGTGAAACCTTTATTCTATTTGTGAAAATTAAAAAAAGGGAGATTTCAGTGCTTTTTTCACATGTAGACCACATTAGACCAGGTCCTGATCTAAAACCACTAGACCTACACTCATCAAATCTGGACTGGATTATCCCAGAGAGTCTAAAGATTCTTTATAACCCAGTTTGAGATTTGTGAAACCTTTATTCTATTTGTGAAAATACAAACAAGGGAGATTTCAGTGCTTTTTTTACATGTAGACCACATTAGACCAGGTCCTGATCTAAAACCACTAGACCTACACTCATCAAATCTGGACTGGATTATCCCAGAGAGTCTAAAGATTCTTTATAACCAAGTTTGAGATTTGTGAAACCTTTATTCTATTTGTGAAAATACAAACAAGGGAGATTTCAGTGCTTTTTTCATATCCTGACCACATTAGACCAGGTCCTGATCTAAAACCACTAGACCTAGACTCATCAAATCTGGACTGGATTATCCCAGAGGGTCTAAAGATTCTTTATAACACAGTTTGAGATTTGTGAAACCTTTATTCTATTTGTGAAAATACGAAAAGGGAGATTTCAGTGCTTTTTTCACATGTAGACCACATTAGACCAGGTCCTGATCTGAAACCACTATACCTAGACTCATCAAATCTGGACTGAATTATCCTAGAGGGTCTAAAGATTCTTTATAACACAGTTTCAGATTTGTGAAACCTTTATTCTATTTGTGAAAATACAAACAAGGGAGATTTCAGTGCTTTTTTTTTTACATGTAGACCACATTAGACCAGGTCCTGATCTGAAACCACTAGACCTAGACTCATCAAATCGGGTAAGTATGGACAGCTAATTAAGGAAGAATAAAGTCTTTACTTATCAAATGTATTATAATTTTTTGTTGCAAATAAAAATTCAACAGATAAGTAGGTATACTTATATAAACTTAATTTATTTACAGTTGCAGGCAAAACATTTCAACAGGAAATTAAATATAGTCTATAACTAGCATTGTTCAAGTTTACTTTAAGCAACAAGCTTTGCCTAATTACAGTATGTCATCTTGAGTACTAGGATTGCTTGGAATGTGAAAAACATTACAAGATTAGAAAATAACACTTTGGTAACAATGGTATGAGAAAGTTGGTTCATTGTAATCCTGTCTTCTCTCTCAGAAAAATAATTGCTATTCATATTTTACTTTAGGACAAAGCAACAGAAGCTGTTCAAAGTGGATGAAAGACTGAAGGTTAGCCTTTTTCTTTATCTCATGAACCTGAATTCCTTTAACATCTCTTTCATTTTTTTGTTTGCTATGAAACAGTATTTAAGATACGAAAACTTTGTAGATAAAGAATTATCACCTAAATGAGGAGCATACACTTATTTTTATTTATGTATTCATTTGTTTAACAGGGACAGTGCACATTAATTAACATTCCTGTAAATGTGCCAGAGTTAGCCAAGAGGCTATTTTTCATCTGTTGTCCCTGGACAGATGTTATAAGTGAACCTAAAACAAATGTCATTTAAACAAGTAAATACAATCAAATTAAAACATGCAACATACATTACTGGAATACTTAAATAAATAAAAAGACAGAACAATAAAACAAAACAAAGAACATGTTGTGACGACCCCTCCCCCCTTCTGCCTGTCTGTGCTCCCTGCCTTGCTGTCCTCTGGCAGGTACTGGGAGTGTCGTCCTGTTTGTGCCCGCCCATCTAGAGGCGGAGCCTCAAGAAGTCATAAAGGCTTGCCCAGCTGGGAGGTTCAATTTCTGATCCTGATCCTGGCCTGCTGCAGCAACATTACAAATATTCACCTCAATTCAACCTGGAACCTCTCTCATTCAATAATACAATAAAATGGTGTGTGTTGTTGTGTGTGTGTGTGTGTGGTGTGTGTGTGTGTGTAGTGTGTGTGTGTGTTGTGTGTGTGTGTGTGTGTGTGTGTGTGTGTGTGTGTGTGTGTGTGTGTGTGTGTGTGTGTGTGTGTGTGTGTGTGTGTGTGTGTGTGGTGTGTGTGTGTGTGTGTGTGTGGTGTGTGTGTGTGTTGTGTGTGTGTGTGTGTGTGTGTGTGTGTGTGTGTGTGTGTGTGTGGTGTGTGTGTGTGTGTGTGTGTGTGTGTGTGCATATGCTCGAACGAGAGCTGCCTGGACGCTGCAATCATGTTGCGCGCACTATCCGTGCTGAGTGTGCTGACTGTTCGTACAATGTCCCACTGTCTGGCTTCCTGCATAAAGTCAAGTGCTCGGCGCAGTTGTGGCGAAATGTCGCTCCTCTGTTTTCATTTAAACAGCTCCTTATATCCGTTAGCGCAGCTAGCTAGCACCAGATGCTAACAACAACAATGCACGTAAGGTCTCTCTCTCGCTCGCTCGGGCCACACATACACACACCCTCCCGGTCCTCCCAATGGCCAGTCGGTGCCTGCCGGTGAGCGTGGAAGTGTGGTCTGCCACAAGCAGGCAGCAGGAGCGGGGCTGTCAGCATCAGCTTGTAGATGGTATTTTAAACTCGATGCGCTCTGAAACTACGGGGCGGCCGAGGAAAAAAAATACACATGCGTTAATCGCGTTAAAATAATTAGTGGCGTTAATTTTTGTTTGCGTTAACGCGTTATTAACGCGTTAACTTGACAGCCCTAATTTTCACAAATAGAATAAAGGTTTCACAAATCTCAAACTGGGTTATAAAGAATCTTTAGACTCTCTGGGATAATCCAGTCCAAATAAATCGGCTATGCAGCGATTTAAGAGGTTCAAACACGGAGGATTGTTCGCTCAGCGCTGTAAATTAAATGTCCCTTAACTTTCCCCTTAACTGCCGAATCGGATGCTCTGAATCGGAAGCCAACTTCAGCGTCGTAGGAATGAGGTATTTGTGGTCAGGTGGCTGGGGTAGGCTACAGCCATACCAAGAAATGGCTTAGCCCCACCTTAGCCCCATCATGAAAAATGATGTTAAAGTAAGCTAAATAAAGTCCGCCAACTTGCGCCGAGTAAATTGCACAGTTAGTAAGATTGATTTCAGTAGCCACTTGTCTGGAAATACCGAAGACCAGAAACGGTTTTGAAAACTTTTGTCACGTAGTGATCGTCTTCCCAATAGAACATCTTTGATAATGTCTTATGGCCAATCAGAATCACGATAACGGCGTGGTGTTGTTGCAGGAAGTCCCGATGGAGAATACTTCTGCTGTAGTACATCTCTATATACATCGATTATTTCACACACACATACGGGTTTTGGGCCGAGGGCGACACCGTACTTCCGGTATCCACCATTTCACACGAGGTGCAAGCAGAATATCATAGTCTATTGCCTTAATCAATATCTAGTCAACTCTAAAATACCACATATATGCATTGGCATGATAATATTATTGTGACAAGTGGGGTATTCACCTGGTGTTTCTAGAAGATAGACGTAGATGCTGCCAAAATCGACCGAAGGCCACTTTCGAGAGTCGTTTTTCCATACATCTGCAGGCAGTCTTTAAGGGCAATCGGACAACCCACACAGCTCTAGTTTACGCTGGTAACGACCTAGAGCACACCCCTCAAGTCCAGAGATGTAATCCGAAGACATGCAGCGATTTCTTCGGTCGTTAATTCAGAAAAAAAAACTAGTGCGCTCTGCCTGGCAACATTACCTAGCTGTTTATATTAGCACCTCCAGGATATTAGCACCTCCAGGAAAATGGCGTATTTCTATATAGATATATGGCGCGCGTTGCATTGTGGGTAGCTCGTGACGTCACTGTGTGTGAAAGAATACAACATTACGTGTTGATAGAAATCAACACGTAATGAAATAAGACCCCACGGTTTGATGATTGATAGGTGTGTGGGCTGTCTTTCATTTTGACACACAGAACAATGGGGGCTATCCACAATGTAAAGTAATTTACACAGCCTCTTGTGACGAAGGTAACTTCGTCACTATGGACTGATGGCTTCAGGCTGATGATTGTGTGCACCTGGTGTCCTGTGTTGTCTCCTCCCCCCTCACCTGTGTCTTGTTGTGCTGATTAGA